GAGAACACTAATATTATCATGACCTGTATGAATGTCATCAACATAAGTTTGTGAACGCAAAACCTCTGCTGCCAAAGTATATTTTTCCCCAAAACGATTTGTTAATTCAAGTAAACATCTTGTTGCAAGAAATGAGGAGCATTTTAGCCATAAGTGACTGTTTTTAATTGAAGATAGGAGTTCGGCAAACTTTGATTTTCTCTCCATAAAATATTTTGCAAAACCCTATATTTTGGATCTATAAGAATCATCCTAAACATTTGCTTAATGTCTGCAATAAGAATGTATTTAGGAAATCTAAATAATATAAGAATATCAAATAATTCTTTTTGAACAACGGCACCATTCAAGAGTACGTCATTTAAAGAAATCTTTCGTTTAGTTAACATACTACCATCAAAAACTGTTCTCATCTTAGTAGTTTTACTGTAATTAAGTTCATTAAATACTGGATGATGAGGTAAAAAATATGTAACATCCTTATTAAGATCATAATTTGAAATATCATATAATTCAGCATGGCCCAAATCTACATACTCTCTAATGAAATCTTTATATTTTTCATAAAGTGTGTTATCCTTAGACAATCTCTTTTCGAGATTCAGAAAACGCTGCAATGCACAAGAAAATGAATCTCCTAACTGAATGTCCTCCAACGGTTGTTTAAGTGGCAACCCTACTTGAAATCTGCCATCATTTAAAATCACTGATTGTTTGAAGCTAATTTCTGCAAGTTCCTGTTCAGAATTTGTTTCTGAATAGAGTTCAGGAACCCTTTCCGCTTCCCAAAATTTCTTTAAGTTATGATTGAGTTCATTGGACTCTGAAGAAAAAATTGAATCAGATAGACTGACCTTATTTCTAGCAAATAAACATGTTTTATTAAGTATGGCCTGCTGTGTAGGCAAGGCACCTGCTACCACATGACCAAAGTGTGTGCTAACCAGGAATGGACCATTCAAATTAAGCGGCCTGACATGATGTTGCATCACCTGGAAATATATATCACACCCTAGTAAGAGACTGATAGGCGCCATTTTGTCAAAATTATAATCAGCAAGCAGAATATTTTTAGGAATATTTAAATTTTCACGAGAGACATGGAATTGTGGCATATCTTCAGTTATTTTCTCAACAATGCAACAACTTACATTTATTTTAAATTTATTGATGCACGAATTTAAGGTAATTTTTGCAACCTCATGAGTAGAATTATTAGCGTTACAAATGCCTAATATTGTATTATGTTCTTTTGTTTTTAAACATTTAATTTTATCAGCCAATGCTGAAGTAACAAATGATACTTGGCTTCCTGAATCAAGCAAACAACGGACTTTAATTATTTTATCATCTTTAGTTTTCAATTGAGCTACTATTGTAGGTAAAATAACATTTGTAGCATTGTTGCATACAAGTCCTACCCTCTTAGAACCAATGTCCCCAGCATCCTCTTTTAATGCTGATGTAGATTTATTTATGATAATTTCTTTATGCAAAAGTGTGTTATGACTGCCATTACAAATAGCACATTTAAAATTAAACCTACACTTTCCATTATATTCATTCAAACAATATTTGCAATAAGTTTTATTTTCATTTATAAATTTATTTCTTTCATCAGGTGTAGCTAATTTAAATTTTTGACAAGATAAAGTCTGTGATTATTTAAGCAATACTTACAATTAATGGCTTTCTTTTTTTTACATCTCTTGGCATTGCTGATACTAACGAAGTCTTCCCAGTTCTCTCATAATGAGGAGAGCAGCCGGAGGATTGACTGAGTGTTTCTAATGCAATAGCTTTTTTTTCTAGAAATTTAAATAGAACAGACAATGTAGGCATGGCATTAGCCGAGTCTATTTCTAAATAAAATGATCGCACAGTAAACTGATCTAACTTTTTTTGAATAATGCAAACTAACAGACTATCCCGTTTATCAATTTCTTCTTTGAAATTTTTTAACGCAGTAAGATGTTGTTTAATAACATTTATAAGATTGCGCAAAGCTTCACTTGTGCATTTGCTCACTGATGGTAACTCTAATATCTGATTTATATGATAAGTTATTAAACGAGTTTTATTATCATAACGCTGATCGAGGAGAGTTAGCGGATTTTTATAATTTTCATTAGTTAATGTGAGATGTTTTATGACATCAAGGGCATCCCCTTCTAGGAATGAATTTAAATAATATAACCGATCACAATCTGATAAATCCTTATTATTGTGGACAACTGAGTTGAAGACATTCATAAAGGTATGATACTCACCCATGGAACCGCCAAAACTCTTTACAATAATATGAGGCAACCTTTGGAATTTAGTTTCCAAAGTTGAACTATTCGAAGGATCTCCTATAAGGGTGTTAATGATTTTATTCATATCAGCTAGGCACTTGCAGTATTTATCCTCCATTTTATCAACATCCTCTTTGTTCTCCGGGTCCAGTATTTGTATCTCGAAGTTATACTCATTGTATTGTGTGAACGCAGTCACTAACCTATCTTTTTTGACTTTTATAATTTCTACATCACTAAGATCTGTGTTTTCACTCGTCAAAAAAGTTTCTGTTCTTGTAATTACAGCCTTAGATAAACCTCTGCATGCAATAAGCCTTTTAAGTTGCTCCACTGTTGACATTGTTAACCAAAACTTTAATAAATTTAATAAATATAACCGCAATTAATCTATAAGTGTCTTGAATATTACAATAATATATTGTGCAATAACAGATTGTGTTATGTAATTAAACAGTAATCAATTAAATAAGTTAATTTTTAAAGAATGACGCATAATTTACAATCTTAATTTAATATGGCTTCTTTCCTAGAATGCGTCCGCTGCAAAGAGATCACTGGAACGGGTCGATGCAGGTCGATAATGCAAACCCGCAATTTGGTCGGGTTTTACTTGCGCCACGCGGTTCGCGAAATAACACCGACGAATATAAGCAATTTCTTGTAGTTTTTCTTCGAAGGGATTTTGCAACTTACTTGCTTTCGATAATGATGGATGATTATTGATTAAAGATTGAAGCATCACCACTGCAGAATGTCACGGCGATCCTTATTGCTTTGGTAATTACATATGCCAACGTGGCCGCCACTGCAGTAGATTAATATTCCGCTTCTTGCAAATCTTCGAATACTCAGCTCCTTTTTAACCTCGAAGGACCATATTATGTTAGGGTCCAAATAAAACTTGTTCCTCTAACATAAGAAAATTTATTGTAATCGAAAATTACATTTATTTTAGACTTGTCAAGCCATTGACCGGTCTTGTGGTGTCTATACTTTAGCTCCTCCGCTGTCAGTGATTCATAGATCGCTGGTTCAGATCCAGCTCGAAGGACCATATTATGTTAGGGTCCAAATAAAACTTGTTCCTCTAACATAAGAAAATTTATTGTAATCGAAAATTACATTTATTTTAGACTTGTCAGAGCCATTGACCGGTCTTGTGGTGTCTATACTTCAGCTCCTCCGCTGTCAGTGAGCCGGTGTTGTCATAGACAAAACTATACAATATTTATTAAGGCGTTTATAAAGAATGTTACTTATGTGCAAAGTATTGTACAAATACACAAATGTACACACGTTTTTTTTTTATTAGTCTTAATTTTTATATATGGTATGAATTATAATTAGCTTATTTAAGTATATCTAGTTTTGGTATGTACCAAAAATTTGCAACTCGTACTGAATACATGTTGTTTCATGATTATATTCTATTTTTCCAATTGTAAACATGTATTCTTTGATACACGGTGGGTAGGGCCAGGTATCGGTGCACGATAGGGCTAGCTCGTCCGGGTAAGTACCACGACCTCACGCGTATCGTCTGGTGAGTGAGGTGGCCGGAGCCCAATTTTCAAAAGGTTATCAACGCATCTGGAACCCCTCGGGTGTGATAAATGTCCATGGGCGGCGGTATTCACTTAACATCAGGTGAACCGCTCATTACGTGCAGGCACGCTTTTAGTTTGATGCGGAAACCACACTTCAGATCAGAGTGATGCACGTGAGATGCATGAACACAGCGTTGAAGCTACTGATAATTGAACCCACGGCCGCGGCGAATCAACGCCTCTGCCACAATGACTTCAATTACCACCGCTGGTCTATCGCCTATTAGATATGTAGTAACCGCGTACTGCTTAACGAATTACAATTAGCATTACAGTGACAAATATTAGCTTACATCATAATACTAATGTTATCTACGGAAAGAATAACAGCTGATGTATAGGTAATAATACTAAGCAATTGTTATCGCTAAACAAATTGTTTATGGACTATTATATTCGAGCAGTTCTTCATATTTACCACTTAATTTTTTTACCCCGTTTTGTCGCGTATTGTCGCGAGTTGTGACGATCATATTTATCAATGTGAACTAATCTCAAGCAGTAAAGAAGATCATTTGACGCTCGGTGTTTTTAGAATGTACACAATCATATATAATTAATATAAAAAAGATATTATAGCTAAATACTGCTTTTTAAAATAATCATAGGAATACTAAAGACCTGTATAACTACGACACTGTTTTAAAAGGAAAATAGTTCTTTTAATTTACATAATAATAAGATACTAATAATCTAGCGGTAGGATTGTTAGACTTGATTGTCAGTTACAATTCCAGTGTCTTTGAACTGCCTACGTCACTACGACTGTAAAACAAAAACAGGGTATTAATCAGTACACAATATAAAACAAAGTCGTCCCGCTGTCTTTCCGTCTATCCCTATGTATGCTTAGAGCTTTAAAACTACGCAACGGATCTTGATGCGATTTTTTTACAAGATAAAGGAAGGTTTATATGAATAACATCAATGTACCCGAGCGAAGCCGGGGCGGGTCGCTAGTTTATAATAAATAAACGACTCCAACTCTAACATAATAATTTAATATTACTATACATAATATACACTAACGCTTAATAAATACAACTTAAACATATCACAGAGATTATCAGGGAATAATAAATAAAAACATCTACATGTATTTGTCGCGTACACGGGCGAACATTTCACCGCTGTCCACTTTGTTGGGGCCCTCGTTCTTCCCGAAAAAGGTCAACTTTGAAGTCTTCAACAGGCCGTTCTTTCCGTCCGCTGATTTCCTCCAGTACACTGTCTGGACCGCGTGCCTTCCAGCGATGTATCGGGTCGCACTACCGATCAGTTGCCTCTTGTCCATCGTGCCGAATCGCTTTGCAAATGCGCGCCAAGAACCGTTTTAACAACTGTCAATTCTCGTCGGGTTACGTCAGCTTTTCTGTTGCGATTTAAATTTTACTAAAGCGCGACGACACGAACGGCAGAAATTCCCCTGCTATCAACAACACTGTATGTCGGGCGCTGTTCTGATGCAGTGCGTCCCACACGGCCGCTTTTATACGATCGTTGGCGCGTGCAGAAATATTAATAACGCCATATAAACACATAAACAAGTGATGTACGACGTCATATGTTTGTTGACATTTTATACAATCGCTTAAGCATCAAAAGAGCGCGTGCCGATAGAGATAATTATACTCCTCTGTTTTCCTGTTAACCTGCAAATATCGTACGCCATAACGTTAAATATTTATGGTTACATATCGATCTAAATATTTTTCGCTAAGTAAAATCATATATTGAGTAACGATTTCATAAATTGGAATTGCAACGGAACGTACTTAAAATCTAGCCAAAAAGACAAAAGTCATACTAATAACTTTTGGGCTTTATGCAAAAAAATCAGAGCAACAAGAAACGGGTTGGAGATTAATACATAAACAATTTTTATGTAACATCGACCAAAAGGTTGTTAAACCCAGTATCTGTAGCTTGATTTTTGTCGATAAAGTGCTGAAACAACTGTCGACATTTCAATAGGACTTTCTTGCATCATAACGTCACTTTGAGAATATTCGTGTGAATTGTGTCTGTTGACTTCAAATATTACATTTGTCGTCGCCTTTATAAGAAGCACGGCTTGCCTTGCTGTTATGTAACAGAAATATAGTGGCGATAGAACAATTTCGCTTTTGCATTTTGGATTTTTTGTTAACAGGTCTTTTTACTGTATAATGTAAATAATTTAACTTGGCAGATAACAAAATATTCTTTGTTTGTCTCTTCTTGTTTTCTATTCAAACGAGTCGCGTACTGAGCTGGGTCCTTATATTTACATATTAATTATTAACTTAGCATAGAAGATCTATCTATCTATATCTAAAGCCAAAAAATAAATTTTATTTATTGGGGACTAAGGGACGTTAAAATAGTCTAATAAAATTAACAGCCGTGCTATAAATAAAATTTCAACTCTATAATTAAAATAATATAATTCCTATACAATAAAAGGACACTGGTCCACCGGCGTCCGTAACTTCAATATCTCGCATATTATCAGAATTATAATTATGATTATCAAGTTTTTTCCCCACCACGTAACACGGTGTTTGATATTTAAAATTTGTTTAATATTTGCTGATTACTGAACCGATTTGTTATTTATCGACAGAGATATGGCACCCGTTAACTCTCCTTTTTAATCTGCGCATTTAAGTGGTTTAAGAAAATTCTCCAAAGTTACATCAAGCTTTTCGATTGATTTGACATGCAGGTTACTCATGACGTGGTTTATTTAGCTCTGTCTGACCTTTGCACAATATATGATCTTACATATATTATATCAGCGTTATGACGGATGTAATTCAGTGTTATCAATTTATATATTACCCTTAATTATGTAAATGCTCGACAAAACTAAACGGAGTTACAAATTCGGAAATTTAAAGAGAGTCGCAAATACAACCCAACCATTTATGTTTTAGGTTATGAAAGTTGGTTTTTACGACACAATAATTATTTTACCCCACAAACATCAAGCGAAACAAGTAGCTCTGTGGTATACCAATGATGCTTAAAGTACTTAACAAACGGCCTCCTCTATACAGAGCGTATCAGGGCATAGTCCACCACGCGGCCCCACTGCGGATTGGCGGACTTCACATATTTTCGAAATATGTTATTTCGAAAATATGCAGGTTTCCTCACGATGTTTTCCTTCACCGCGGAGCACGTGATAAGTCAGTATGTATGTAGCGGGCACGTGATAAGTCAGTATGTAGTATCAATAAGTCAGTCACTTAAAGTTAAAAACTCCATTGGTGCCAGCAGCGGGGATCGAACTCAGGTTGCACGAGTATATTGAATTAAAGGCGAGCGCCCGGACACTGAGCAGTCACGGCTCTTAATTACATACATATAGTTTAATACGTATTCTATAATAACAATTGCTATAAGTAAACTAGTTACAAGGACGTTTATGCATGCATACTACTTTAACACAATAATATGTCTGTTTATCACTACACGACTAAATTACGAGTCCTAACTGGTGCCATCATTTTTTAAACACAACGTTTCTGGTAATAAATAAACTTCCCGGCATAATGTTATGATTTTTCACGTTATACCCAAAGTCTTATGTACATTATTTATTTTATAAATCTTTTGATTATAAATTGAGTCATGATATTTGATTATTAAATAGTTACCATACACGTTCTCATAAATCATCTTAAAAGCCAATGACAAGAATTTAAACAAAAAACTTTTAGAAATTTAAATTTTTTATAGTGCTAATCTCTAGACTCTCTAGAGATCTCTAGAAGTTGACATTTAGACAAAGTACGAAAAGATTGTTGCCGCAGTGGGAATCGAAGCCACGTCTTCGGCATTCGCGAAGTGACCCTTTAGCCACTAAGCTAAACGGCTGATTGCCACACCGACGAAAATCTTAACTAAATTTATCAACATTGTTGATTATTTACCAATTTTATTATGGCGGTGTAATGGGTAGGTACGGAACCCGGGGCGTAAGAGTTCGACACGCACTTGACCGGTTTGTTATAACCTTATCAATTTCACACCATCTAATTATATTATTCTTTAAATTAAAACATGTAGAAAAAGTACGAAAAGATTGTCGCCGCTGTGGGAATCGAACTCACGTCTTTGACATTCGCGGCCGTGAACATCAGTAACATGCCACTTATACGAATGACAATTACTTATATAATGTGTGATCTTAAAAAACAAATTAAAAATATAATTTACGATTAACTATGATATGTTATCATAGAGCTAAACTCTGCACTTAAGATTGAACATTAAAAACATGTAGAAAAAGTACGAAAAGATTGTCGCCGCTGTGGGAATCGAACTCACGTCTTTGACATTCGCGGCCGTGAACATCAGTAACATGCCACTTATACGAATGACAATTACTTATATAATGTGTGATCTTAAAAAACAAATTAAAAATATAATTAAGATTAACTATAATTAAAGACTATTACTAAGAAACTTTAAAAAGAATGATATGTTTTCATAGTGCTAAACTCTGCACTTAAGATTGAACATTAAAACATGTAGAAAAAGTACGAAAAGATTGTCGCCGCTGTGGGAATCGAACTCACGTCTTTGACATTCGCGGCCGTGAACATCAGTAACATGCCACTTATACGAATGACAATTACTTATATAATGTGTGATCTTAAAAAACAAAATTAAAAATATAATTTACGATTACTATAATTAAAGACTATTACTAAGAAACTTTAAAAAAGAATGATATGTTTTCATAGTGCTAAACTCTGCACTTAAGATTGAACATTAAAACATGTAGAAAAAGTACGAAAAGATTGTCGCCGCTGTGGGAATCGAACTCACGTCTTTGACATTCGCGGCCTTGAACATCAGTAACATGCCACTTATACGAATGACAATTACTTATATAATGTGTGATCTTAAAAAACAAATTAAAAATATAATTTACGATTAACTATAATTAAAGACTATTACTAAGAAACTTTAAAAAGAATGATATGTTTTCATAGTGCTAAACTCTGCACTTAAGATTGAACATTAAAACATGTAGAAAAAGTACGAAAAGATTGTCGCCGCTGTGGGAATCGAACTCACGTCTTTGACATTCGCGGCCTTGAACATCAGTAACATGCCACTTATACGAATGACAATTACTTATATAATGTGTGATCTTAAAAAACAAATTAAAAATATAATTTACGATTAACTATAATTAAAGACTATTACTAAGAAACTTTAAAAAGAATTATATGTTTTCATAGTGCTAAACTCTGCACTTAAGATTGAACATTAAAACATGTAGAAAAAGTACGAAAAGATTGTCGCCGCTGTGGGAATCCGCGGAAATTAAGTGCAGAGTTTAGCACTATGAAAACATATCATTCTTTTTAAAGTTTCTTCATTCGTATAAGTGGCATGTTACTGATGAGTTTCAATTCATCCAAAAATATAACTATTCCACCGGACAAATACAATCAATCAATTAATTTGAGCAGGCCTTGTATGCAACGCCACTGTCAAGAACAAACGATTGCACTATGTGAATTAATGAATTGTTAATTCCAAGTAGCCAAACGATTCCACTATGTGAATAAATGAACTCCGTGGCGCAGTTGCCAAGGCATTGGCTTCGGCGTCGGGGGTCGTGGGTTCGATTCCCACACGGGCAACTATTTGTGTGACCCACAGATGGTTGTTTCACATCTGGGTGTTTGTCCGCGTGAAATTCATGTTTGTAAAACGTCTTTACAACACAGGATAATGTCCCGCAGTAAAAGCACTATAATGAAAAACGTTTATAAATTGACTTTCTCCGGAGCAAATAATAACGTTTCATGTTGACTGTTTTTAAACTGGTTTTGACATGATAAATTTAATATTCGCTAATGCAACTTCGATATAAAATATCACGTTTGGTCAAGACGAATGAGGCGAAACATTCCTGAACGCCGGGTGGAGTCAATGTACGGTACATTGACTCCTTACTAATGTATCTCCTTACTCTGAATTCTTACTAATATTATAAACGCGCAAGTTTGTATGTACGGATGGATGTTTGTTACCCTTTCACGCAAAATCAACTGTATAGATTTTAATAAAACTTTACAATAATATAGCTTATTCATCAGAATAACACATAGGTTATAATTTATTTAGATTTTGTGTGAATTGTCCAAAATATAAGTAATGATAAGTGTCAACTAAGTAGGAAAAAAATCAGCCATCTGCGAGATATTCTGGTGTAAAATTAAAAAAAAAATCATTGTTAATTCCCTAAGGCTGCGCGGGCGATGCCACGGTTAACAGCTAGTGTTA